ATGCCATGTACATTTTTTTGAAAAAAAAAACAAGTAGTCACATAAAACTGGTTCGAAGCAAAGACAATTTATTTTAAAGAAAATTAATCTAATTTTTTTATTTAATTTTTTCATGAGATCAAAGGACACTTAAAAGTAGCGGTCTCTTTTTTGTTGAATTCTCTGAATTTTTGAAATTTGCAAGTGTTACAAATAATAAGACAGAGCATATGCAGAGTTCAGTGAATAAATATGCTTAGAAAAATGTATGATTTTCATGGCAAACATTTCTTTAAAATAGTCTACCAGCCTTCAGGTATAAAGAATAAAACACTGTCTTTGACCCGGAAATAAACGCCTCCACTCATGTTAAACCGCACGGCTCGCTCGCAAAATGTCGATGTTTTATTTGAGCCACTTTCTTGTACACTGACAATACGTAGCCGAAGCATGATACATCTAGAATACGGGGACCAGGAAATATCAGATTAAATCAGACGTTTCAAATTTAGTATATCCGATTTACAATTAGTAATTTGACATTGATGGGTAAATTAGAAAATCTAGGGTTCACGCGTGCAGCAGACAACCATGCGTGGTTATGAGACTAGTATTGTTGGTTCTGAATTATAGTCAAAGTGTAAACAAATTTTTAGTAACTGAAAAGAAAGAACCGTTGGAGTGTACCAGATCCATGATTCTGAAACAAGTTTCCTTGTTACGGTATAATGGAGCTGGTATACTCCAACGGTTCTTTTTTTCGGTGAATTAAAAAAAACCATCGTCACGCAATGTCATTGGATGAACACTTCTCTGCGTTGCACACGGATGCTCCTATACCCTACCATGTTTTTGCGTTATATGGACTCCACGCAGCTGATACTTCGTTGGGAAGGATGCCTTGTCCAATCAAAGGTTTTGCATTTTGATCATGGGGCCGGGGCGCTTAGTGGTAGAAAAAAAATCGATACTGAGCCGTTGAGTTCATAATTGAATGTAGGCTTGCATCGTCATATTATCGTGTCGCAGGTTATCGTGTGTCTCATACACTGTTTGGCACTTTCAATCGGAATTATCTTTTTTGACTTTGAAATTCATACAATTTTAATTTGTTTATTTCCAAGAGACAGTCACTTGTACAACGTACGATGACGTAGCCGCCATTTTCCATTCCAGTCGATCATGTACATAGAAGTAGTAATGAGAGAATAAGACGATGTTACGCTACAAAAGTTCTCTATGAAGTATGTTTTTAAAATACTTCTAATAATATGAGCTATCTATTAAAAAAGCTATGAGCTATCTATTTAAAACTGATATGCTATACTTCAAAGAGGGGAGCCAGATATTTTCTTGTTACGCGAGGAGTGCCAGACATTTTCTTAATGTGCTATCCATGAACGAGGAGTGCCAGAAAAATCTTGGTATGTGTACACCGGCGCGGAGTGCGACTTTTTTATGAGCTGATAATTAGAATCGAGTTTTCACCTTGTGATTGTGGCATTGATTGTTTCTCATACTACCACTCGACATATGTACCATCATATTTCATAATCGCTTATTTTTCATAATCATTTAGCTCTCATGTCCACTTATCATCCATCAAATATACGCTGGAAGACAGAGGCAAACTACTAGGGGGAGGGCTTAAAGCCATTCCCCCTGGCATACGCTAAGAATTCATAACGCATCACCATGTTCATCAATAACTATGCCATGCGAAGACTGGGCTTCTTTCCACTCCGAATCGCGAATTCAGTACCGCCCCTACCGGGTCGCTAGTTGGGCGAAGGAAAAGAGGAGCTTATGAGCGCATGCGCCCTATGGAGTAATTTCCTAAACGTTTAGTTTCTTCACAAAATGAAGCTTTTAATCAAATAAACCCTTAAAATTGATAATTTAAACATTTAAAAAAAATAATCGATCCTTGTGAATTTTATATAATCTTTATTGCATTGAAATATCTATATCATCAAGTGCAAGAAAGTGATTTGTCTCTTTTATAACGGACAAATTATTTTGTGACGTAATGCAAAACTTAGGTACTGCTCTTTACATAGAATGTCATTAAAATATCATATTTATGTAGTCGTAACAACCAATTCTCCATCTTTTTCGGTACTTCGTAAGTTTTTGTCAGAATACAATTCGAATAATGGCCCTTCGATCCGTTTTGCAAGTGCTCTTTTGTCTAATATTAATCATAGTCTGCAAAATTTGAAGGTTCTTTTTATTATCTTGGCTCTTCCTTTAATAAATTTTAGATCGTAGCATTTGTAGTAACGAACTTCATACATTTTCAATAAACTGGCTTTGTAAAATCATAATTGCACTTTTGAGATAACGAAACAAAACAACGCAGAAATTGATTCCATGTTGAAGTCTTCAACCAGGAAAACAATCCCCATTTATGCTGGAACTTTACCGACCTTCGATTAAGTAATGGTTCGCTTCGATGCAGTAAATTCTCCTTTCGAAGAAATAGTCCTTCAGTGAAGCTCCGGATGCTAATACGTACATAAGAAAGGAACGTTTCTAAGGGACGCCACTTCGAGTTTATGCGATACTGCGACTCGGTTCCACGATGTTTCTGCTCGCGGCGCTCGTGGCGCTCGCGGTGGCGGGTCGCGGAAGCTCCGCGACGGCGGGGACGCCCCAACCAGGTGAGAACAGCTTTCGATCAGGAACACGCTCATTGATCCGTCATTTATTCTGCTACGGATGGCCCCCTCATTCGCATCAAACGGTATTCGTTTGTCTTTTCATTTTGACGGTTATGAATATTGTAATTTGATGAGAGCTACGTTTTCTCATAACTAAGTATTCCATGGTACAACGAATTTCATTATATAAATAATATATTTTCTTCAAATGAAATCCACACATTTTTTAGGGATTACTTCTTCATTTCCAGTCTTTTTTAAAAGCCGAGTAACGAAGAACAAATCTGAATAGACTTTGGGGAAAATATATTATGCGGAATATTATTTCATTCTGTATTTTTTCATCATAAAATTAAATAATATTTCCGCCGAATTCATAACAATGAGGTTTTGGTATGAAAGCGTGTATGTAACATAATTGTGATGTGTGTTAACATTTCTGCAAGCCCTTCTGTTTAGAAAGTTCTGTTAATAATATCGGTGTCTGTTAACATTTCTTTCTCGTAAAATAACTTATAAACACAGTTCTTATGTATACTAGGAATAAAAATACAGCAAAAAGTAAGCTATACTCGGTCAAAATATACCTGACTATAATTACATCTCCTCTGCTACAGATAGTCCCTGCAACAGTCAGAAGCATTGAATTTGTTATTAAGATGTTCTAATATAGCAGGAAAATGATATTTTGTAATTGCATTAACTTCAATTCTTTAGTCGGTTTGAAATAGAAGGTGCATATGTTCCGTATTATTGGAATGTGCGTTTTATCAAATAATTAAATAATTGAATATTAAAACTTGCATTTCTTATTTAGAAATGCAATGTTCAAAAACATATTTGGACTTCTTTTTGTTATTGTGTATTACAACGCATATTTGTCTGTCCCTATTAAGACAGTATGCTCTTGGTTACTGCTGTTACAATTTTCTGAAAAGAAGCTCATTCAACATTTGGCAGCTCTGGTGGGAAGGGAAGGCAACCACTCCCCTTTCTTGAAAATATACTAATTCAAAGAAAATTTTAAAATATTTTACTGGTATACTTCATATGCGAAAGTACGAGGGTTCTTCAGCCTCTCACTCATAAACCGATGAACAAATTTTGTTGTTGTTGTTGTTTTTCACCATCATCATCAATACTCCTACGAGGGCAAGTGATGGGCCCAATACTCGACTCTATGGATGGAAATGAGGGTGGAATAGGGAAGAAAGAATAGCGATCGCTCGGTAGTCGTATTCAACAATGCTGCTCCAACATTCGCCTGGACATGATCAGAGATATCACAGAAATCACAAATCAGACCAGTCGGCCTACAAATGCAAATCCGATAGGTGCCACAAACGCATTGATGTTAAATACAGAAGTAAATTTCTAACAACATGCCGAGGTCGAACCAGCGATCTCACAATCAATAGTACAGTCGGTCCCTATTATTTTTTATTTTATCTTATTTTACGTCAACAATGTGACGAAGAAGTTAAGAACAGTGTGACGAGCTACGGGGAGAAGAGTTTTATGTGCACGTTTTCATAACTCTGGAATTTCTATCCTGAGCTACATACAAGATGAATTCTGAATATAGAAAAGAATAAGCGTTTTTGACGAGAATTGATTAGAAAATATTAACTCCGCTGCAATATCTATTTTCAAGGGCAAATCAGCTTTTATCCCTCGTCATGTCCTTCATGAAGGAATAGGCCCTATACTTCCTACCGCGACAACATGGAGAACGATCGGTCCTTGTTGCTGGTAAAGCTTTGTTTCTAAGGACGCTACTACCTCTCTATTAGTATGATAAATTTATAAACTTTGAAAGAAAAAATTAACAATCTTAATGATTTATATTATTTTGCTAATACCATTTGAGTTAAACTTAGTTATACTTTATTCTTCAGATTATTTGAAAAAAAAAAGATATGAAAATATACTCTGCAATTTTGTTCGCGTACCATACACGTCTATAAAAATAAAGTTTAAATTGTCAGTGTAGTTACAATGCTTAGTCCCTTTTTTTCAAAGAAAAATCTCATTTTAATACCGTTAACAATTATTTTATTTTTTAAATTTGATGTTATATCCTTTGGAACTATTTTTAAATATAAATTATATCTAGTACGAAAAAGTGGTAAAAATATTATTTAAAATATAAGATCACAATATACTATGTTTTATAAATTAAAATATTTAAATTGTAATGTATAAATTCACTTGCAGAAATTAACTTCAAAAATGTTCCGTTTAATTTTTAAAAATGGCCCCTCAAAGTTTTCCTGAACCGCCTTCGAATTTACGAACAACATTTCTTAACAACTGCGTAAAAATATTATAGCCTACATTCAATAGATGTTCACCTACCTAAATGTGCCATCTCGCATGTATATTCACTGTCTCCCCCGTGGCCCGTCTTCGTGCCGGCGTGGTTCTCCTGCTGCCGGCGTGCCTGTCCGCCCGCCAGCCGACTGCTCCGCTCCGCGCCGTCCCCTTTAAAGGCAGAATTCTGCACGTCGAGCACTCCTCTATTCGGAAACTTTTCTTAATTAGGTGGCGTATTCTCGCTGTCAGAACACCCCTCCAGATGCGCGCGATAAAAAGCAACTTCGTCAACCGAGGATGGCCACGCGCCAACTTGCAGTCGGAAAATTGGGTGAAATACTGCCGAAAATGCAGCGCGTCGCGATGTGGGCATTCGCTCGTTCCCTTCCCCTCCCCTCCCAACCTACTGGCCCTTCCCCTGAACGGCGTCGCGTCGAGCAGGGACTACCCCGATTTCTTCATCAGAGCCGTGGGGAGGGTAATTGGACTGGAAGCCCAACGGAAGGGAGATGAATGAGATCCCGTAGTCACAATGCTTTTCTTTTTTTTACAGTTTCCCAATTCTTTACTATTTTTCAAGGAGAACTTATAAGACTTCAATGTTTACAGAAGAAATGTTTGTTTGATAATTGTAACTACAATTATATGGTAAATAGGAGCTGTTTCCGGGATGCAAGTAGATTGTAGAATTAGATAAATGTTAATTTTTAAGACGCACACTTCAATTTAAATATGTTAATTGGAATGTTAAGAGGATAATTCTGTTCAACAATTTAAACTAATGGAAAGACGTGGCTACCGAAACTTTCCCTCCTCTTAGTGATATTACTCAACATTTACCAAAATGTTAAAAATGTGCATGGCAGAATTTGAAGATCTATTGGATAAATTGGATAAATTAATGCAGAAAAAATCCATGCCACAAGAATCAATAAGGTTGAAAAATGGCTTGAAAAATTGCGATACATCTTAAAATTTCGAGCAGCAAGAATGTTCGTCGAAAATTAGATATGTGTAGGATGTGGCTGTAGAAGAATTAGAAATGTTCTACATATTCATTCTATGGAAAATAGAAAAAAATCATTGTTTATGTCCTTTTCTTTTAAGTGTTGAATACTAATCAAATATAGGAAGTTTACGCATTCTGGACTAATACAATCATTATTCACTGTGAAACCAGAGTTCATCATACAAATATTTCTGAAATTGTAATGGAAATGTTTTATATTTAGAGATAAGATATGTTTGTATTATGTTGAAGGGAAATATCACAAAAAACACCTGCTGTTCCCCTTAGCATAAAAACGTAAAGCACCACATAATTACAATCACTGACATTTTTGTGAAAGGACACTCCTTTTTTGCAACACATGGCAATTCACTAGAGAGTTAAAACATCTCCATCCATTCCTTTCAAACTAGTGGCCTTTAGACTATTATATTTTATCTATGTACATAGAATTGCCATAAAATATAGTTTTATTTCCTTATTACAACGTGGAATATGTACCACGATTGAGGCAGGAAGAACAATTACCTCATGTGAGGTATGAAAGCAACTTTGAGACAAAACCTTTGAATTCTTTTTTTCCCCCTAGATCTTGAGTTAATAACGAATCGAAAAAGTAAATTCTCTGCCTTGTAGGGACTTGTTCTTTCACACTTTTATCCCGTTACCGGGATTATATAGATCAGGTCTGGCGGTCAAGAACGCTGACCGAGTCTCGACCATGTTCGAAGCAAACTCGCCCGCATACAGAACGTAATTACACTTAATGAACGCACACACCACTTACACGCTCAGACGAAGAATGCAGGAAAATCCTGGTGACTTACTAAACGTACGACTACTCAAATGTATGTAAACGAGTTGGTATTACTAAACGACACTTGTGCCCTGGTCACTAACAAAGAACCAAGATGATAATGTATTGAAATAAGTAAATAAGTAGAGTTACATTTATGATTAATTAGTCATTCATGAAGGTTATAGGACCTACGGTATAAAGTAGTACACAACTCTTGGGTTGAGGGTATAAAATAGAAAACATTAATAAGGCTTTCAAATGGTGCGATTATTTCTGTAACGATCGTCCTCTAGCTGTCTTTCCGTAACCTAACAAGATACTCGCCACTTGGAATTAAAGCGTTCAACTCCGGGATTCACAGCAGTTGACACGGGAGCAACATGTCTGAAAGAACCGCACCACAGGCCATTTGGGATTTCCATGCATGCCCTGTAGCTGCGCGCCGGGGATTTCGCTGCGAACCAAGACGAGTTTTACTCGAACGCTGCGACCGGACTTGACTTTCGACCTTAGCGGCCGCATCGGAGGCCGAAGGACCGACTCCTCGCGGTCGCCTCTCTGACTCGCAGCTGGGTGAATCATGAGTCGCATTCCTGGCGGGCTGCTTCACTCCTCTTATTCACCTGACGAAGCCTCGGACGCTCAGTTGGGAGCATTTCGGCCAGGTGCGAGGCTCGTGGGTTCGGGGCGACGAGGCTCATCACGTGAGGGTGCGCCTGCCCCGGAGGAGATTCGTGTTTAGAAGATCGGAAACGCATCAAGACAGCTCAAATGAATTTCGGTAGGCCCAGTTTGTTTTTAAGCACACTTACCAAAAATGTCCATGTGTCTTTGCAAATTGTAACAAAACGTGCGTGACTATATGCTGAAGATTGTTAAAAATAACGTGCGTGTTTAATATGCTAAAAGTTTCCTGAAAACGACTTTTATTGCGATGTTTAGTAGGAGTCTCGAAAATTTACGTCTACATCCCTTTAAATAGTGCATATTATATTGATCACATCATGCATTACTTACTTTCAGTAACATGGCAAACTTTAAAAATGAATGATCACCTTGTGGTGAAATTTCTGAAACTACGTATCGTAATTTTTAACACGTTTTCCTTTGTTGTTTATTATTATTATTATTATTATTATTATTATTATTATTATTATTATTATTATTATTATTATTTATTGTTGTTATTTTTATTATTTATAGTATTACTTCCATATTTATTTTAAATTAATTTAGTTAAGAAAATAGTGATATTATGTACATAAACTCTTAAACTATTTTTAACAGCAGGCCTACCATTTCAAAACAGTTCGTGAGATGTATAGTTCCAAATATCTGGCGTATCCGGGAGTATCGTGTTACGCTAAGGATGCCGAAGGCTTTCTATTAAAATAGAAACATGAAACATTGGTTGCATTATTTACATACTGTTGTATGCTGCGGACCTAAGACATATTAATCGCATAAAAAATCTCAAAACCTCCCACAGAAACGCTTGCAGCTTCAATCAGCCGCATACCATCTACACTATAAAACCGGTTTGTGAATGCAACTCGGGGCACCATAACCTTGAAGCTCCGGTTTATGCTCAACCATGCATTTGCGATGATTTTTTCGCTTTGCATCAACGAATCGCAAGTCTTTAACCATTCGACCAGAACCCAATCATCGACACGGCGCCTTCGGGTCTCCGGGAGAAGCCGTTACTTCGTTCAACAGCGACAAGCAAGAAGTTTTCCTCGCAGGCTGCGTATACGATTAAAACATCAAGTCCGTCCAAACTTCGTCAGCCATGATGTTGCCATTCCATAGGGAGCTTGCACGTAACAATAGTGACTCTTCGACGACACTACACTGTCGTCGGTCAAGCTCACGGATGAATTACATCGTTACAGCTGACGGTAGTGTCAACGGACTTGAAGTTTTAATCGAAGTGTAGACACTCATTACGCACGAACGTATCCGCGAGTACCTTTCACGAGAAAGCAACCGATTCCTGGCCGGTGACACACGCGTCTGGCGCCGGTGACACGCCGCGGAACTGACCTTGATGCGGCCGCGCGGATTCTTGTTTTTCGCCGGTGCGCCCGACCGGGAGGCGACCTTGGAGGCTGGCGACCTTCAGGCCGCGGGCGGGCGGGAGGTCCTGAACGGGCAGCGACGATCTCCGGCGCGGTGCATTGCACACGCATCCCAGTCGCCGGGAGTCGCGAGTGAGCTCGCGCGGAGATCTGTTTTGTTGACGTGTGGTCGCGTCGGCGGAGGCTGCGTAGAAATCACGCTGTGAGCGGTAGGCGTTATGCGTCATGGATGAGCGTGGTAGGCAAGTTTCCTGCGCAGGTATTTTTAAAAAAAATGCATTTTTTTCTTAACAGCATGTTCGATTTTAATACTGAAACATTATTCATGCTTAATGGCTGAGGCGTATCTAAGGTATGGCGGACATGGCACGTGCCTTGGGCGCCACTTACAAGGTGTGCTATTTAAAGTATACCCGCTAAAACCAATAACAACTCTAATTCGAAGTACCCTGACATTGGTGCAAATTCTGTGCTTGTCGTGGGCGTAGGCATACCTAGATACGTCTCTGCTTAATGGTGCTATTATTTTGCGCACGTTTTCTTCAGTCCTCATTTCGCTGGATGGTAGACGAGTGGGTGTTTAGTTATTTCGACGACAGGGCTATTATGTCAAAAATGTTGCTCCGTTTTTCGATAAATTTGATTTTTTTTTAAATCTATTATGCCGGAGCGAACGTTTATCATAACGAGATTTTGTAAACAACGCTCGTCGCTAACATTTATTCTAAATTGAACCACTTTAAGTGAAGGAGTGGGGGAGGTATTCCAGGGCTCACGAAAACGTGTGGGTGAAATACCTGCTCAAGATCATTAAGTGGAAAGTGGCAAAGTAGCTTTGTCTCCGACAAAGAGAAGTAGTTAAAAATCAAGAAGAACAATTTATAAAATGGAGTACCCAGATTTAACTTTAATTAATTTGTGAGATTCAACTTCAGGAGCAATGAAAATATATTTGTATATCTAAATTAAACAGGAACATTAGAGGAACCTTAGATTACATACGTCTGTCATTACAATTTCTGAACGAAGAAATGAAAATGACTACTCAGGAATTCTGAGGAGAACTTGTTGCATCTCATAAATATTATTTGAAATAAGAACCATTAAAATGATATTAAAATCGATGAAATCAGCGGAATTGACGGGAAAAGGTAAAAACATGACTTATTAGTCGAAATCGACGAAAAATTTAAAAAGGGTCATAAAAATGGGCATTTTCATTCTTTTATACTATAAAAATTAAAAATTAAACTAAAAAGAATTGTTCAAAAGTTAAAAGAAAAAGGAAATTTCATTAAAATCTGCCACCTATTGAATACATTATTGAATGCTATTCCTGGTCACCGTAACGTATTCCAACCTACCCTAGCCACATCGTGCTGACTAATGTGCTACCTGTATAACGTACGGAATATACTTCAAAACTATTACTGTTTCGGATTTATTCACCCCTTATCGGATAATATGATCATTAACAGGCAAATTTGGAATAAGCCAGACTCGGAAAGCCGTAACAGGTAATGTTCCCTTCAAATCGACACAAAAATTATTTTTTTAGTCGATAATAACGAGAGTGAAGACGAGTTGAAACATGCATATTACCTCATGTTTCATAACAATATTTTTGAGGAATGTTTTTGCGAAGCACGCCGTCTCAATATTTTGATACTTCGTCGAGGAAACGCACAAAGCTCATTCCGTTCTGTTACGTAGGCTCTATATAGTGAAAAATATTGCTGTGCCAAGTTTGACGCGGGAAGGCCACGAAAACGTGACATGCTCTTCGTAATTACTCGATTGCAGTCTGATAGATCAAGTATTTACTCCTATCCATGCCAAGTTACGCAGCTTTTTAATAGGTTGCAAAGTACTGTTGCGTATAATGAAATTCTAGGAGATTTGAAGAAAACTTTGAGTTTTTATTCTTTAATGAAGAAAGTGATGAATGAACGAGGGGAAGTTTCTGAAATAATAGTGTATTTAGAAGTTTTATGGCCTTCCTGCACCTGACGTAGCATTACAATCCTTTCTACCTCGCGGGCTAACAGTCTCTAAGCCTCACGACTCTTATAGGGTGGACTATAAAGAGTCGGCGATCATCGTAAACACTATATGTAAACACTGAAAAATATTGTTATGTAATGTATCTGTATTGCGCGCTTCATAATCTGTAGTGATTGTAGAATCTAACACTTTAAGTTTTAAAATAGAGAATTCTGAAAACAAGGTTTATAGCGTTATAAACATGAAGATTTAGCATTTTGTAACATTTGCTGAGAAAATTATCAAGGGAGGACTCTTTGAGATTAAAAAATATTTTTATGCTCTTCTTCTTCTCCTTCTTCTTCTTCTTCTTCTTCTTCTTCTTCTTCTTCTTCTTCTTCCTGTGATCTTCTTCGTACAGGGAACTAAGAAAGCTGGCAACCTTTGAGATGATCCTAAGCGCTCAGGCTTTGAGGATTAGTATTTAAATTGTTCTTATTAGGTTTTACTTTGTTTTGTCAGTCAATTTTTTTCCAAACATCGATGTGTTGTTGCTCATGTGGCATCCCTAGTTAGAGAGCGAACACGAATGCATCTCGAGGCGCTTCAGTCAAACTGTTAGCTTTCGGCATGAAAAATTACGAACATGCTCAAACTATATATATATATATATATATATTATATATATATATATTATATATTATATTATTATGTGTGTGCTTGTGTGTGTGTGTGTGTGTGTATGGGTGTTATATACTGTGCCATAATGTATACAGGTCTTGTGTATTGTTTATATATTGAGTGTATTATGCTCGAAAGGAGTGTATTGTAAATTCTTTTTTATATGGTAAATTGTTTTGGAATTAAATGTTATATATTGTAAAACTGTAGGGTTATGGCTACCACCTGGCAATCAGCCAATTGTAGCCAAATAAATAAATATTATATTATTATAAACGTTTTCATGCATACTGGACTGCACGGGCAAAGATTTTGAACTGCCTCCCTATCGCGTACCCTGTGGCAATGAATAACGCGCGCGCGTGTCGCTGTGCAGGGATGGGCGGCCTGCTGAGCTTCTTCTGGGGCGCGGGGCCCGAGAGCGCGGGCCTGGACGTGGCCGACCCCGCCACGGGCCTCACCCCGCGCCAGAAGCGCTACGTCACCGACACGTGGGCGCTCGTCAAGAAGGACCTGCGTGGCAGCGGCATCGCCGTGCTGCACACGTGAGTACACTCCCCCACCCTCCGTCTGTTCTGAATTTTTTTGTAATTTATTTATTTTTATTTTATTTTTATTTGGGTTATTTAAAGTTGTATCAAGATCTAGGTGCCGGTCCGGATGGCCTAGATCACTAGGGCAGTAGTGCCTTAGTGATCTAGGTCAAGAAGGACCTGCGCGGCATCGGCGTTCCTCACACGTGAGTACACTGCCCCCCCTCCACCTCCTCCTGTTCTGATTCTTTCCTTTTTGGGGGGGGGGGGGTATTTAAAGTCGTATTAAGATCTGGGTGACGGTCCGGAGGGCCTAGATCACTAAGGCAGTAGTGCTGTAGTGATCTCGGACCGAAGGATCGCGGGTTCGAATCCCGCCTCAGGCATGGTTGTATTGTGTTCGACCTTTCACACCCCTATCATCATCATCATATCGTGTCATCCTCATACCGTTACAAGCAATAGTGGTCGCTAATGACCTAGTAGTTGATGCGACCTTAAATAACAAAAAAAATAAAAAAGATCTAGGTCATTAGCAACAAGTATTGTATTTAAAGATATAGTAACTGTGAAGATGACATGATATGGTGATGATAGGGGGTGAAAGGACGAATACAAATATAATATTCAGTGCGCCAGGAAGTTATCTCCGCACCGAGCCAAATCAATGCCTCCTATTAAAAGTTGCATTCATGTTGGTAGCAACCAGATCACTAGTAAGCAAATGAAAAGGACAATACTTTCAGCCTCTATTATGAATGTGGTGAGAACGCAATTAAGGTTTTTTTAGCTGTAGTTTATACTACCAACATAATTTTTGTTGCAAGCACTCTCACCCGCAAGGTGTCACTACGGAGAGATAAAAGGTGCTACTGCTTTATATATATTTCAATTGACCAGCAAATTTTAGTGCAACAGAGAATGTTGCAATAAAAAAATTCGAATGAAAAACATTAAACAAATTGTTAACCCACAAAAGTATTCCAGTAATAAATTACATTCACTCTTTTAAAAAGATAGTAATACGGGAATCTCATAGGTTCCTCATTATTGTTTCATGTCTTTCCATTGTTGTTTTTTGTTTATTTTTTTAGTGTGTGTTCTTATTTGTGGCTGATTTATGGGGAGGGGTGTCAGCAAAATGAATTAAGTATTTGTCACATAGGAATCTACTTTCCATTCAAAATATTGTTGCGGATGGAGCAAGTTTGTAATGATTAATTGCTGGTATTAGGTGTAATGCTAAAGTTTCGATTATCAGTTACGACCGGTCTATTTTAGGAATGTGAAATCTCCAACAGAACATCGATGTTCAAAATTAAAACTTGTTTCCAATACTGAATCAACTAAAAAAATCGACGGGCTGAGAAAGCTCAGGGTATCAGCGGTTGTCTCTGCAATATCCGTGACGGAAGTTCTAAAGTTTGTCTCCTTATTGAGACAAATTTTCGATACGTTCTAACGTAGGTCGAATTCAACCCCTGTCTGGAGGAGAATGCCGGTGCAGTTGTTAACAAACGAACCTCGGACAGCGGACGATCTTTTCTTCCTCATTCTTTCCCCCCACTCTCCCCTTGGACAAACACACATCCACTACAGCTTCCAGGTTCTTCTGATTGAGATGGTGGCCTTCTGGTATAGAACCCTTAGGGTGGGAATCCCCGAAAGCCGATGTTTATGTCGGCACCGAATGTCACCTTGCAGCGGGAAAGGAACACCACTATCTAGCGGCATATAACGAGTACTACACATACGGGACTGTTGACCACAGTCAACGCGCCCGGACCGAGAGAAATGGCGCAGGGCATCAACTGTAGTGTCTCTGACCGGGAGGACCTGGGGTTCGAGTTCCGACGGTGGCAAATTTTCTACACTAGGTAGTTAGCTAGGTTTAGTTCTGTCGCTGTCTGAAGAGAATTCTAGCGGTCGGCTGCTCTGATCGTTAGTTTTCCGTGGATTCTCCGATCAAAACAAGACGAATGCCGGAGCAGTTTCCTACCAAACAGGCCACGGACCGCTCACGATCTTTCCTTCCTATTTCTTCTACTATTCTCACCTCTTACTCACACACACACACGCACTACACCACCGCCGGGAGACCCGTCGGAAGCGTAGAGGTTATCTAGACCGATGGGTTCCTCGCTTGTGGGAGATACTTGGTTTGGGTAACCCACGCTAGCCGAAAGTAGGACGGGGCCGGCGTCGGCTTAGAGCGTGTCTCGGCTGAAACGGTGTCCCGCTGATTGGAGGTACCTGGTTGAGGAAATCCCCGCTAGTTGTCGAGGAGGTCGGCTCCTGATCTTACCATTCAGCGGGACAAAATCACCACCGCCTCCAATGATTTAAAACAATGCACTACACTTACGGAACTAATGACTTCAGCAGTTGACGCACCTGGAACCACTAATCGATCAACAATAACAACAAAAGATTTAAGACGAAGTAACAATATTATTTATCACGTTTTGATAAATTGAAGAACCGTAGAGGACCAAGTTTTCAATCTGGGTAGCCTTACCTAGTGTCAGAAATCGAAGGGGAGAAAATGAACTAATGACTTATTTCAAAACGGCCATTTCTCCAACAGTTGTCAGGCGCATGTGGTTGGAAAACGCCGCATCCTCAGAGAAGCCGCCTATTCAAAGTAAATAAAGAACCGAAAATGCTTCAATTATATTAATATAGTGTATGTGGCGTTTTCACATATAACACGTGTGAGGAAATATTGTTCTGAGTCAAGTAGTAAGCTTAACTCATTTTAGCACACATTGGAGGTGAAGCGTTTTTGAAATAACAGATTCAGATGTTTCTGCACTTTGCCACAGAATCCGTAATTGTAATTACGATTCCTATTCACTATTTCAAAGGTGCTCCTATCCATTTCAGTGGGGGCGGGGATCCTGTATATAATACTAAGGACAGGTGACGGTTTTGACAATTCGTAAGAAACCATCGACACAAAACTATAATTATGCTACTAATGGATAGGGAATTGCTCCCCAGTTCACATTCAAAACGAAAAAGAAAATGAATGTTGCAAATTATGGCATGCACACGTACTGCAACAAACATAATTGCCCTTAAATCAAAGGGTCCCATATTCCCTTAAATCAAAGGGTCCAAAAGGACACGTTTGTGGAGACGGGTAAGGTTTGAGAGGGAGAAGAGGAACACGTGGGGAAATGGAGGCCAGATGGACAGTATAACAGTAATCTACAAAATGATATCTTTTTGGACTTCATATTACATTTTTTGAGATTTAGTTCTTTGGATAGCACGATTCCGTAGCACGAATTGTCAGAGAACGTAACACAAAATCTATGTAAAATTAAAATGAAGGAAAAATACATATAAACTTTCACTAATATATTAAAGGGACCGTTTGATTTTCTGTGCCGTTTAATCTCAGCCCTCATCAACATTTACGTGATTACTTTTGCACAGTTCTGGGTCTAAAAAGCTGTAAAGTAGATTTCTGGGGCTGGTCGGTTTGAATAGAGTTATAATACGAAGTAAATTTCACATTTAAAACTGATACAAAATTTCGCGCGAATGCAGCTCGTCCTCTGCAAATAGAATTCATTCCTTATTCCCATTCATTCCTTTCCATAGAAGATCATTGAGATATATTCCTTTGGCATGAATATCGCGTTGAAAACAATAGTACTAAATGTTATGTCGCGAATATACAAGTGTTTGGGTTCAATATTTTAAAGTAACACAGTTGTGAGTAAAAGCAGCAAAGAGTTTCATAGGAATTCTAGCTCATTTCACACAGATGTAAAAATACAGCTTCTGTTGGGATCACTAAGGGCAAAAGTTCCCCTTGATGAATGATGTGCACTACGCAGAAAATGATACCCATACGATCTTCACATTGACATTGAAAATACTGAGTGGTATTGCCATTACTAACTAGCATCATATACCCTGATTTGTCAAAGACTTCGTGTTCTTTGGAAATTCCAGTAAAAAATGCCAGCTGTAGAGCTTAAATTTACGTGGAAATTTTCAAATTCTGTATTAATACCTCTTAATAAAACGACAGCAAATAAACGGAGAATGTCACTTGATATCAATTATGTATCCTTAATGCAAAATCCATATTATTCAATGTACATTATATTGTCGTAAAATTTAGCTATTCGAAAATTATTGTAATTGAGTTGTAAAATATTTTTATATAACAAGTGGTTTAAGTGGAGCTTTATTCACGAGGGGGAAATGTGTCCTGAGCGCGTAAACGCGAGGGACATAATTCTTCAGAGTGATTTAAGCTCAGATGAACCTCGTGTCATATACAAAGTACCAAATGTACTATACCATAATAGTACTGAAAGTACCATGGAAATATGTATACCTAGCTCCTTGGAAAGTACAATTAGAAAACAAAATAGTACTTGCCAACCCCCGAACGGAACAATGCGTGGGTTTTTTTCGCAATTGTATATCAAGTTTACACATCACACTCTCAAATTGTCATAAACTAGAAGTCTCTAATAAAATATTGTGCATCACACAACAAAAGTGGTATTCCAAGTTAACATCTACTTTCTTGCCATAATGTAAATTAATATGAAAGATTAAAAATCAAAATGTGAAAATGTTCCAGAAAAAATTAGTTTGAGCTTCCTGTCAGTTATATTTAGAAATAACTCAAGTTGCTAACACGAGTAAAATTATTTACGAAATGTTTTTCAGAAGAATTAATGTTTGATCAAATGTTCATCTCCTTTGCATTTTCCTGTAGTGCTGCTTATGTAATAGGAAGAGATTAATATTATAAACTAGTTTCTCATTTTTTATTTTGTTGTTGCAATTTCTTTAATTTTCACAGACGTTGTCAGTGGATCTCTCCTTTATAATTCAATATTCAAATTTCCATCTGACAAAATAATTTTTTGAGAATTAACTGTAAATAAAGAATGAAATTCAAAAATCATTTAAGATACTAATAAAAGGAGTATTCTATCCAAATGAGTACAATAAACTTACTGTGGTGTCTTGTTCTGTTGCAGATTTTTTACAGACTTCCCAGAGTACACCAAATATTTCAATGCTTTTAAAGATGTACCAATTAAGGACCTTCCCACAAACAAGAAGTTTCAAGCACATTCACACAGTGTAATATATGCCCTCTCCAGTGTTGTTGACAACTTGGATGACACTGGAGTATTGGTAGAAATGCTTAACAAGTTGGGAGAAAATCATGGGCGTAGAAACATTACACCAAAACAATTTCAGGTAGGATTGTACAATCAAAGTTAAAATTGAATGATTTGGATACACGACTCTTCAACTCTGAGTAAATAAAAATTCAATACCAACTTTTTTTATAGGATCTTAAGGGAGTTATCTTGAAAGTGTTGAAGGCGAAACTTGGGAAGGTCATGACTCCAGATGCTGAAGAAGCATGGTCAAAGACGTTGGATGTAGCTTACTCCATAATCTTCAAAGGAATGGAAAATGTGAAGAAAAATGATCACATTATATCGTGAACAAAATGTAAAATGAGTGCTGATTTTCAGTGTATCGAGACTGCATGACATAAGACACGGGATGTGTTCTATCACCTAGTCGTGAACTTTTATGTGAACCTCTTGCAATGAGGATACATATAGTTTTAAAATCATGACTTATATTTGCTGTTGTGATGTTTGAATATGCACATTTTAGTGGCTCTTTTAACAGTAATGAAAGTGAATGTTTTATTGTATAAATAACTAAAACAAAGAAAAGACATTGTTCATGTCATTAGATGAAATACAGCTTTTGTGATATTCTTCTATCATGTTAGGAGAGTTGGAAATGAAGAGTGAAACTGATTGGTAATCTGTGAACTACATAGTACCTTAGACTCAACCATGAATCATTGTTTACATAGTGTTTTTTGAACATCTTTAGGCAATGATATTTCAGGTTACCTGTTATTTAGGATTATTTTACAACATTCAGTTTATTAACATTTAATACTTTTTAAGAGGAATATAAACTGATATTGTTTAAAAGTGTATTCTGAAACTACATGAATGGTTATAGAATATTACTGATCAAATTAAAGAACAATCTATTTTTAATGTACAATTTTGTTATACTACATTTTTAGGAATACATGTAAAAACAATTTTAAAACTGAACAATATGTGATGTAATATCTTTGTGCTCAGGCATTTTATTGTTTGTATTTTAATTTGCTCTATGACTTGGTATACACGAGTTACCTCCAAAGATATATTAAAAACATAATAGTTTTAGATGAATATGCATGTATAATTTGTTATTTAAGTAAACTTGTACTTATTTTACAGCAAAGTGTTGTCAATTTATCTTATTTCCCAAAATATGTGTATTCATTTTCTTGTTTAACCCTATATTCACAATGTACTTGCTCATTGACAACCCAGTCATTTTGACTCCCATATGAATCGTGATCACAAATATCCAAATAAATCAAACTAAAAATATTATAACATTGAATAAATTTATTTCAATATAACAAATTTGTAATTCATTGGCTTTGACTATCTGTATCAATTATTCTAACATGGTTTCTAAGAGTTCTTTAAACTTCAATGCAGAGGCTTGTGTACCAGAGTACATTATAGAGCATTGCATCTGTATGGAGAATTTCAAATGCATGTCTAATTACACAGGATCTAATATATCTTTTACATTCTTCACTGTGCCAAGAAAAATATGTACAATATTTTTTCCTTCATTTTCTTTCCACAAATCCACACCTGGGTTTCTATTTCAAGTGTAGACTCTCTTTCCATGAACCTTATCAATGTTTACAAAGTGTTACTTCTATGCCAAAATTGGCTACAACACCAAATAAAATAATTTTCTCTCAGTCTCTAATTTATCTCCAATGATATGTTTGTCACACACACGTTTGAAAACTCAAAACATTAGCTCCATCTTCATCCATATAATTTTGATCCACAACCCTGTTATCTGAGCCTGACAAAATCTTCACTATGATCAGAAAAGTCAATTATCGTCCAATATCTTGGAAATTTCATTTTCAGCTAATACCTCAACCATGACCACAACTAAGACCTCACAAGTGAGTCTACTAACATTGAGGCAAAATTACAGTCTCATTTATGAATGCAATTATAAGATAGACTGGAACACACAACAATGTGAATGACTGTAATAAAGTTTCATGAGTAACTAATAAAAATTCCGCCACTTTGTCACCAGCAAACTATTGCCCAACAATGTGCAATTAATATCCAAAGTGAAGCAGGACTAAAATTGACTCTTGGTTGTAAATCCAGATTAAAATGTTAAAAGGGATTATTTTTATTTAAATGTTGTGATACTTTAGGTCTGATAATTTCAGATCTGTTGTACACAAATTTGATACTGCAATTATTCAGATTTTCCATGCTCAAAAGATATATGTTCTTCTGTAATGCTACGTCTACTCATTATTTTACCTTATAAAGTTTCCAATTTATATTTTAAATTAAAACTTTAACACACCTACATGATTTAAGTCTTGATATTTTTGGTCAAAAATTGAATATCATCAGAAAATTATTCTAAAAATAAGAATTTTTCTTCTCTCTAGAGCAACTCAATTTTGCTTGAAAGACATAATTTTTTGTGCAAATATTTATTAAATTGCTTTAAAGAGATTAACATAAGAGTAGTAATGTAAACTTCCTTTAATCTTTTGTGGAACTTTCTTGAATTCCAGTTCACAGGGATCGATCCAAAGACAAATTTTGGGAGGGGAAATTAAAATGTATTCGGTTGAATATGTCATATTACAGATTTTGTTAAAAGTCGCAGGCTACACTCAGATCATGCTATGATATAATTTTATTCGGTTTAATGATTATCAAAAAATATTTGTGCTTGAAAGTTTTGTTACTAGTTCAAAATAATAGTTGTTGATAAATTTTAGTGGGATATTTCCTTCACTTTCCTCCCTGTGGAACAGTGCCTGCAATTAATAAAATTATGTTTTTCGAAGAATTGAGAAAACTAAACCAAAACTGTATTGTTCATAAATTAAACATTGAAGGTACTTGAAAAGTAAAGAAAGTAGTTATTTATAATTTATGAGAAAGGGAAATTTAAAGAAAAAGTCTTAAACTATATTAAACGTCTTTTCTGTCATTGAGAAAATTTTGAAAACAATTATTAATTATAAGATCAAAAACATTCTAAAGTTTAAAATCCCTACTTAAATTTGAAAGGCGCCAAGTTGAAGCACAACATAATTGGGAAATTATACAATGAAAAGTAAAAGAGGTGGTTTGTTCACTACAGAATGGCCCCATTCCTGAAAAAATATTATTCACATTACTAGTTTTTTCTTTAAAACACTGACATAAAGAGTTACACTTGAAAGCAATTCTTTCTCTATTTTATACATAACTTCTGGTTATTGATAAGGAAACAGCAATAGTTTGCTCTTCAAACATGAGTCTCCTAACAAGTAAGTAGATAAGTCAATATAAGAATTCCTAGAATACAACTAATCTCAGAAAAAGCAAAATGTGATATTTGTCTGGTCTGAATGTTTCCTTCAACAACATGTCACTCTTGTTTTCTGATGGTTAGGTGTAAATCATAAGAATGCACTCTTCAAGTTTTAAAAGTTTTGTCAGAGAAATAAGGAAATCAATTCATATTTATTACTGACATATAATTTACAATTGCACATAGAAATTTTTTTACTTGGATCTCATTTTCATTATATTTTGGACGAGGAAGGCTTAAGTGAGACATCATTTTAAATACTTTTTGGGCAGAAATGTAAGTCTCTTCTTCTGAATATTATTCTAATTAATGGAAGTCCTTTGAGAGATCAAGAACATCCAAGTGTTGTGATGATCTCTAAAACAATGAAGCTAAATGAAATCTCTAAAACATTGAAGAGAGTTACAATGATACAAAATAAATGAATTTATGATCTCATGAAGACATTTTTTAAATCTGTAATATTTTATAACCTTTCCCGTTTGGTGTTTCCCATTCCATTCATTTTCTCTTTTACTGATGTGACATACAGAAATTTTTAGAAATACTTTTGCTTGTCCTCAAACTATTAGTCTTTTTTTAATACAATAATAAAGAAAAGGGACTGTGACAGAAAATTGTATAAAAAAGAAAATTCAATCACAATGCATAGAATTCTCAAAAAATGCCATCCCAAACTAGACAAAAACAGCTAAACATTTAAAGAAGTATGAATCTACACCAAAAAATGAGGCCAAATTGGTGTTCTACAACAACAGTACATTTCAAAAAAATCAAAATAAACCTATTGACAATTGTTTTACAAGTAAAATGTCATAAGTAAGAATAAAATTTTAATGGATAAGGGGGCCCAGATGTGTATTGTCTCCTGACATTTCCTGTTTTAGGTTGAGGATGCTAATGAACAACATGACTATCATCAATACTCTCTTTATTAAGTAAATAAAATCCCCTTGCAATGGGAGCCTAAGGATGTGCTTAGACTGCTTAAACATTAACTTATTTATGACTGTCAAATTTGCAATTGTCTTGGTTATTCACATTAAATGAAATGTTTCTTTCTTACATGTATTATATTCTGCATGTGAAAATCAAAATTTTGTGGTGAGAGTTGCAGACAATTTGCAATGTAAAATCTCACACAAGGGTTTAAGGGAAAAAAGCAAATTCAGAAAAAATACTATAAAATAGTTTGAATAAATATTAAACTAATTTTGAAAATTTTAAATGTATTTTCTTCTAGACCTGGTAGTTATTAATCATTTTAAAAAGTGGTTTAAATTTTAAGTAGTTTAAATCAAAGTTATGTTAGTTTAAATATTTATTCGCATTTATAAAGTTTAAAAGATAGTAATTATCTATTGTGCCAAGGTAAGAGTACTTCTTTACCATCAGAAAAATGTTGCTGTTGAAGTAAATGTCCAAATATGTGATAATTTTTATCAATTAGTTTGAGAAAAATATAGTTCCGTTCAGTGAAAAACAAAAAAAAACAAAAAAACTCTGACTAAGTTTTATTGGATGTTACTGTAAAATAATACTCAAATATTGGGGAGTTGGGTTAACATTAATTGAAACAAATAACTTATCTTTTCCTTTCCTTTCCTCTTTACTTTTCTTGAACAATTTACCTTTAAGTACTATATAGTTTATCTACAATGTCTCTGTATACATTTTTGAATCCAATTTTTAAAACTTTTCAAACAAAATCAATGAATCATTTTTAAATTAATTTACTTTAGCAAAAATAATGTGCTTCAGATACATTGCTTATCAGCCAACAAAGTAATAACTATATAATATCTCAACATTTAACAAGAAAATATTCATTGTGGCATCAAAATCTGTAATAATGACCTTGTTAAACTGCACTTCTGTAGAAATATGTAAACATGAATACATTTCAATTTTGCAAGATAAATTATATTATTTTGTATTAGATTAATTACAATTAAATTAATTATTATTTAAACTCGTAAACAATTATTTTTTCAACACATTTCAACTTGTAATAAACTTATGTATTTAGAACCATTTGGCCCTCAATTTAAAAACTGAGATATAGTAAGAATTTAGGTTATTTCTCTCTTTCATCAAACTGGGAATTTGCACATTTGAATCCTATAAAGACTGTTCTTAACAAATCATTCTATAGAACGAATTGTGGTTGTGAGTAGACAAAAGCTGATCCATGTATTGTAAATATTTCACAAAATACAAACAAAATTGATTGAAAAGTGTGAAACACAGAAGATACCAGTTTAGAAACTGCTAAGGAAAACCAGGATCATTTTACACAAAGTGTAACAATACATCATACATACAGTAAGGACCAAAGCAAATAAAACTGCTTTGGTCCTTACTGTAAGAAGAATAGGCAAACCATAGTTAAATTTTTTGTTTTAAATCAAACACAGCAACAATAAGTTGTTTTGTCCAGGTCTGTACGAACCCTAGTGCAAGGGGTGCACTGCAGAAGGTGGCATTTGTGAAAGGATGGCAAAAATTTAGTACTGCATTATTCACAAATATAATATCAGGTACTTTTATACTCATGTGGCAACTCATGGGCAACATATATTTGCTCAAGGATGCAAATTACCTTGGAGCAGCCTTGGTTTGGCCCACGAAATCTTTCAAGAGCAACACGTATTTTCACACATTTATCAAATTTTATTAGCTCTCTACTAGCTTATGTGTTGTCTATCCTTACTTCTTTTCGACTACTTATTGAATTAAAAGCAATTACAATTTCATTATCAAAATTGTATTTTAACTATTATTGGGATCATCAGTGAGTTTGCCCACTTCAATTAATACCATGTGCTAATTATTAACATTATTTAATATTCTAACTTTATATTTTTTCATTTTCTTCTCCCCAATTTTTATACATCATTTTTCCTTTTTTGACAATGAAATCAGAGCTTTGGTAGTTTTATCTTTGATTGACAGTAGAAATGCAAAAAACATTTCCTTTCACATTATTTCCTTGACTTTTAATTAAGTCCCAGAGAGAATGGAATTGTTAATTTTAAAAAAATATCAAGCACTACCAAAGAGTGTGAAAAAATGAACCCTAGTGCAAATTCATTTCCAAACATCATATTACAAAATGTATAGCAAAGTGTGCTATATTATTACAAAGAACACTATTAAAAAATAAATCATCAATTTCACTTTGGGAAATAAATTATATTTTATATCATATTTACCTTCTGTTGTGTTAGCAATTTTAGAATTGTAATATAATGCCTAAGTAATTCATATATTACTCATGCAGTAAACGAATGAGAAGAAAACAAATTTTAGATCAATGTCACAAATTTTCAAAATGCAGCCTTATAAAATTATAGCAAGGTACATAAAAGACAATATTTTATAAGTTTTAATAGCTTATGATAATGAACTAGTACAAGAAGAATGGGGGTCAATGGAAGAAAAAGGAATATCAACAATCTACATAAAACCCCTCTTTAACAGAAGTCAAGTAAATGTGGGAAAATGTCTATCAGGTGACTTTTCGGTACATAAATAATTATGGCAAGGCTGTTGTTTATTTCCAACCCTGTTTAAGATATACACTGATAAATCCTTAAAAGAATGGAAAATAAAATATAAAAGTATGGGTGTGAAAATAGGTACTGCAATGTTGTTCAATCTATTTGTAGAAGACTAGGTAATAATGACAGAAGATGAAGATGATGTAACCTACCATCCACCTTACTAATAAAGGTCTGGTTTAAACCAGGAGTAAAACATTTACTATGTTTATAAATTTGGTAGAAGCAGAAGCGGATCCAGAGGAATGGGGGATGGGGACAATGATTGATTGAAATTGATTTAAATATATTTATGTTTGAATTATGTCATTTAAAAAAATGTATAGTATCATATATATGCAACGAAAATTAAATGCAATATAATAACAAATATATTTATTATTTAATAATAATGTATAGTGGCCCCTCCAAAATGATCGACCGGATCCACCCCTGAGAAGAAGAGTATGAAAG